AGTTAACTAATAATTAGTTGATGTTAGAGTTTTTTGAAAAGTTCTTATGTCTAAAGCCTGGTTGGGTGATTTTTGTTCATTTGGGAGGGAATTTTTTCCCCTATAGGAAATATTGAACACTGATAAAAAGTATAAAATTGTGGGGGGGGGGGGGGGGAAGAAGACCCATTTTATGAGTTCCCAAAAGTGATAGGTTTGGTAAAATTTTATTACAATCTATTTCCCATGATCTTTTCCTCCTTTAAAAAAAAGTTCTGATAAACTACAATATAGTGAAATAAAAAAATTGATATACTTACTACCTAAAATGTTTTGAAAAGTTAATATTTTCTAATATTTACTTTAGATCTTCTTTTAAAGTTATAGAAATGTTATAAAAGTCGTGCTTTTTCTTTACATCGTGAATTTGACTTATTTCATACTCTGCCTTTTACATCAGTGTTTCACCATAAAATTAACCCTATCATTAAAATACTAGAGGCCCGGTGCTCAGGATTCATGCACTGGTGGGGGGCATGGCCTATGGGGATGGGCCCGCTGTGGGAGCACCGCTCATCCCGGTCTGCCAAGTGGCTATGGACCTGCCCTCTGAGTGGCTGCTCCCTGGTCCGGCACCTTCCGTGGAGCCAGAGCACTCGCCTCTCCAGGGGACCCGGTTGGGGGACAATAGCACTGAGAGGTGGCGGAGTGGGCCTCAGTCCCACAGCGGCCACAAACCTGCCTTCTAGCCTTCGGGGTCAGCACTGTGCGGCCTGCAGGCATCTGGAGGCAGCAGCAGGGAGTGAGGAGGAGCCTGGGGCGAGGAGGCAACATTCGCAGCCCGGGTTCTTGCCTATTGACCCAGGGTTCACAGTTCTCCTGCGTTGAGCGTCTGCCCCCTGGTGGTCAGTGTGCATCATAGCAACTGGTTGACAGGTCGCTGGGCTTTTATTATATAGGATATTATAAACTTAAAAAAAGTAAACTCTCCACCCAGTGTGGCTCAGTGGTTGAGCACTGACCCATGAACCAAGAGGACCCTGGTTCAATTCCTGGTTAGGGCACATGCTCAGGTTGCAGTCGATTAATGATTCTCTCTCATCATTGATGTTTCTATCTCTCCCTCTCCCTTCCTCTCTAAAATTAATAAAAACAGTAAAAAAAAAAAAAAAAGTTAAATCTCACAACTGCCTCCTACTGCTTTCAGAACTTTGTTCCTAACTACCTCTCCAGTTTTACTTATTACTTCCTCATACAAACCCAGCTATCAGAAACTGTTCTCAGGTCTACCAGTTTTGCCATGCTGTGTTATGTCCCCATGCTTTTGAAAATGCTCATCAGAGATTATGAGCTTTCATTTATCTAATGACTGCAATTTCAGAGTTCAGCTCCTTTGGAAAAAATTTTCTCCATATCGTCTACCTTCAGTCCCAAATTAGATAAAAGTACCAATTCAATCTATTCTCACAGTATCCTCCTACTGTAACCTATATCACACAAAATTGCAATGATGTGTTTTACTGTATTTTCTCCATCAGAGCAAAAGAATTCTGTGAGAACAATGTCTCTTTTCTCTGTATTACACAATACGTGGCACAGAGTAAGTGCTCAACAAATGCTTGCTTAATAGACCTCACCAAGCCATTTTTTGAATAGCCTCCAAAGCAGACTAAATGATTTTATATGATTCTATAAATAAAGGGCTAGGGATATAGGTCACTATTCAAAAATTATAAAGTATTTTTGGGTCAAAATGATGAACTGACCATTCCCATTCATGTTTCTCCCTCCTGAGACTCCTATAAAACAAAAAGTAAAGGAATACAAAGGTATAAACCAACAACAAGAAATATACCTGAGAAAAAGATTTCTACAGATTTTCAGACAACAGAATGTGAATGGAAGAGTGAGAAGTGATGAGGCAGGGTGGAGAAAAATGAGTTTAGGAGTATACAGAAAGGGAGCTATACCTAGGAAAGGAGCAAATCTGTCTTGCAGAACCCCTGAGAAACTTTGATCCAGAAAATGATGAGTATAAAAGGATGGAGGAGTTAAGTAGTGGGGTTGAAAATAGGACAATTCATTAAAAGTGTGAATGCCAAACACTCATACCACCTCCTCTGCAGCCTTCACACTTGGTAGCCAAGGCACTATGTCCCAGGCAAAAAATGTGAGTTCTTCTCTACAGAGTTAAAATATCCTGGCAAAAAGACTCCAGCCTTCTCACATTTAGAGCTCCTCCTGCCCAGACTAACAGCCAGCTCCTCACCTACAGACGTCAATGGTTAAACCCAAGAAGTAGAGAATCCCTACCTATGGATAGAAAGCCCCTCAATCAATTTTTTCATAACTCATTCTTAACTAGGAATGGACAATGAGATATATGAATTTCGAGGAAAGCCAAAATCTTTATAAAAGAGAAAGACTAAGACAACTAGGAGGGGAAAAATAAAATAAAAGGCTCTACCAGGAAACAAGACAATTCAGGGAAGAGAAAAAAGTTTTAATATCTTCATGGGCACTAGATACTATATCCATAAAATCAGAAAGGATTGCCATAAAAAAGGGAACACAGAACAAAAAAGAATTCTTAGAAATTTAAAATATGACTGTCAAACATAAAAATATGAAGAGATGAAGCTGGAAGATAAAGTTGAAATCTTCCAGAAAGCAAAACAAAAAGATCAAGGTTGAGAAAACATAGGACACATTAAATATCAACCTAGGAGATCCAACATGTGATTAATCAGTGTTCCAGAAAGAGAAAATAAAGGAAAAGGAAAGAGAGAAATTGTCCTGGAGTTGAAGAATACCAATCTTTAGACTGAAAGAGCACACCAAGTAACCCATAAAGAATGAAAACCATGTAGATACATCATTGTAAAAATTTCAGAACATCATGGACAATGTCCCTAAAAGCTTACAGAGAAACAAGAGTCATCCCCAAAGGATCTTGCAAAGACTTCATATCAACAACACTAAAGACAATGGAGAAATGTCTTCTAAACTATGAGGGAAAATGCTCTTCAACCAGTCAAACTATCAAAGCATATGTGAAAACAGAATAAAGACATTTTTAGATATAAAGATTCAGAAATTTCTTTCTTGCAATACCCTCTTTTTAAAAAAATTTATTGAGCCCTAACCAGTTTGGCCCAGTGGGTAGAGGGTTGGCCTGCAGACTGGAGGGTTCCAGGTTTGATTCCGGTCAAGGGCATGTACCTTGGTTGCGGGCACATCCCCAGTAGGGAGTGTGCAGGAGGCAGCTGAATGATGTTTCTCTCTCATCGATGTTTCAAACTCTCTATCCCTCTCCCTTCCTCTCTGTAAAATCAATTAAAATATATTTAAATAAATAAAATAATTTTTAAAAAATAAAATAAAATAAAAATTTATTGAGGATGTGCTCCAGCAAGATGAGAAAATACCAAGAAAAGAAGACACAAATCTTCAAAATAGAGGGCTTATCTAAGAATAACAGTAAATACTAATCCTAGGATGAGATCTAGAGACCTAAAACTGGATCAGGAGAATGGAAGTTCAGGCAGAAAGGCCTCTGGGGAAAATGTAGATTCAGAATATCTGAAGCGACAGAGAAAAGGGAGGGGGAGTGGGGAGGGGAATATGAAAAGGCAAACAATGCAGGTAAAAAAGAAATTCTATAAGAAAGCCAAATATTTCTAATATATCCATAGTTAACATAGACCTTGCAGTGAACAAATGTTTACATAGATATAATGTAAGCTTTATTTATTAATTTCCATCCTTTAAAACAAGAAGACAATTATGATTACAGAATGGAATGTAAATATTATCTATCTTACAACAGTATGTAAGTAAAGTATAGTTCACTGAAGCTGGGAAACTGAAGAGATAGGTGAAAACTAATGGGAAAGGATAGGATGTTAATATCCTCATTTTACAAAGCAGGGAGTCTAGAGTTAGTGGTCAAAAAATAGTATAGTATAGCTGACCCTTGAACAATAGAGATTTGAACTGCACAGATCCATTTATAAGAGTCCATTGGCCCTCTGTATCCCCTAGGTTTCCCATCCACAAATTCAACCACCCATGGATTGAAAACAGAATTTTCAATCTGCAGATGTGTTGTTCTATGTCATTTTATATAAGGTACTCGAGCATCTGCAGATTTTGGTATCTGCAGCGGGTCATGGAACTATCCCCAGTGGATGCTGAGAAATGACTGCATAGTAGTAAGTTTTGGGGGAGTCAAATGTTATATGCAGTTTTTCATCCACACAGGGAATGAGGGTCAATACCCCTAAACCCCGTGTATTCAAGAGTCAACTGTACTTCCCTTTACAAAGGTAATACAAAGATTTAAAACAGTTGTATAATAATACTGGGAGAAAGTGGAAGGCTGGTAAATATAAGCCAAATCCTCATTTGTCACATCAAGTAGTTAAAAGATCTTTCTTAAATAGGATAAACCAAGAAAGAACCATATGGATATATAATTTAGAAATATGGAGGCAAATGCTAGAAAAATAGTTAAATGAGGTAAAAGGAATGGTTTTTAGGAAGTGGGGACTGGTGGGTTCTATAATACTATATGCTTTTACATATGGTGATTAAAACTTTAAAAAAATTATGTACAAAATGAACATTATCAAGTCCTTTTCAGTGGATTCTTAACGCAGTCAATTTACATGAAATTTAGTAACAGAATGTTTCCATCTAGTTTTCTACATATATGTCAGCCTAATTTTATATCCTGTAACAATAACTTGACATACTCCCTTTGAAATTCTAAGACATAAGGCATAATAATAACCAGGGTATGCATGAGCTTTAGCATCAAAAAGACCCAGGTCTAATTTAGACTCTACCACTTGCTAGCTATACTAGTATTACCTATCCAAGGTTCTAAACCTCTTCAAAAGTAACTTCTTCATCTGTGAACTGGAGATAATGTTTATCCACATTGAGTTAGGTACACATGTAAAACAGTCACTGACATATAGTAACCAATCAATTTGATAGCTCTAATTACTACTTACATTGGCCACCACTTTTACTTCTTTGTATTGTGCTTCATAGAAAATTCCAGCATTTTCCAGTGCTTCTGTTAGTGAGGGCCCATTTTTCACCTGCTTATCTAATCCATTCACAAATTCCTCCAGCTTGGCGCTTGCCTCCTCAAATTCTTTGGAGAACTTCTTCCCACCGGTCTTATCTAAAATAACAGAGGAAGTATTCATTTCAGGATAAAAAAGAAAAAGTAAATAATTTAATTTTCTGAAAACCTCCCTCCAGATTATCAGTGAACCTGTTCTTACTGCCTTAACATGTAATATTCTTAGTCTCATAGTTTCCACTTTAAAAAGCTTCTCCAAATCACAAAACAGATTATTAAAATGATTCATGTGAATCTGCTAGAGTTAAAAGCAATAGTGCATCATGAAAGTACCAATAATCACAGTAAACAAAAGGAAGTCCAACTAAAAGAAGGTTCATTGATTTTCTTTACAAATTTGATGCCATTCTACTACTTTGGAATAATGGAATGAGGTTGATTCTGTTCACTTAGACCAGGGGTGGAGAACCTTTTTTCTGCCAAGGGCCATATGGATATTTATAATATCATTCATGGGCCATACACAATTACCAACTAAAAAATTAGCTTGCTGTGTTTGGTCAAACATTTAATGAACTCACCACTAATGCCTTAGCAGGGCCAGACCAAATGATTTCTTGGGCTGGATGTTCCTCACCCCTGACTTAGACCATTAACTTTTAATCCTCTAGAACAGTGGTTCTCAACCTTCCTAATGCCACGACCCTTTAATACAGTTCCTCATGTTGTGGTGACCCCCAACCATAAAATTATTTTCGTTGCTACTTCATAACTGTAATTTTGCTACTGTTATGAATCGTAATGTAAATATCTGATATGCAGGATGTATTTTCATTGTTCACGACCCACAGGTTGAGAACCACTGCACTAGAATGTGTAAGATACATGAAAAAACTAAGGTTCAGAAAAGTAAAGATAAAGTGACCGCTCTGTGAATCACACTAAAAATTCTTCTTTCCTATCTGAAGATGTCTAATAATTTCATATATGAAGAGTACAAACCCTCAATTATTTTTGCATCAATAATGATATTATGGCCCTAACCGGTTTGGCTCAGTGGATAGAGCGTTGGCCTGCGGACTTAAAGGTCCCAGGTTCGATTCCGGTCAAGGGCATGTACCTTGGTTGCAGGCACATCCCCAGTAGGAGGTGTGCAGGAGGCAGCTGATCGATGTTTCTCTCTCATCGATGTTTCTAAATCTCTATCCCTCTCTTTCCTCTCTGTAAAAAATCAATAAAATATATTTTTTTTTAAAAAGGAAAAAAAAAATAATGATATTATGGCCCTGGCTGTTGTGCCCAATGGTTAGAGCATTGACTTGAGCACCAGAGAGTCTCAGGTTTGATTCCCAGTCTTGGACACGTAACTAGGTTGTAGATGATCCCTGGTCTGGCTGGAGTATGTGCAGGAGGCAACCAACCGATGTGTCTCTCTCACATCGATGTTTCTTTCTCTCTCTCTGCCTCCTTCTTTCCCTCCCTCCCTTTCATTCTCTCTAAAAAGCAATCAATGGAAAAAATATTCTCAGGTGAGGATTAAAAACACACACACACAAAAAAAACCCAATAGTGACATTACGAACTGTTACTTACACTTCTAAGTATACTTCATTCCCCATGACTGTAGGAATATGGCTTTAGAAAAGGGCACAAATTTTGGCTTTGTCTCTCATCAGCTGTGTAACTTAGGCAAGCTATTCATCTCCTTATGAAGTCTTGAATTTCTCATATATAAAATGGAAATTTTTAATATACTTCTGGGTTGTGAGAATTAAATTCAATAACATGTTAAATTTATTTATTTATTTATTTATTCAATTAGCAATAATCGTGCCTCAGATAAACCCCATTGACTATGATACTGCCACTGTGCAAAGCTAACATGTTAAATTTAAAGGATGTTACAATAACAAAATAAAGGCCAAAATGAATATCTAGTAGCCATTTACTCATTACTTCAAAAATATTTATTAAATGCCTATTATGTCCCAAGCAAGCATTGGTCTAGGCTGGATACAGCAGTGAACAAATAAGGATAATTTTACCAGTCAGTGTGATTCAGTGGTTGAATGTTGACCTAGGAACCAGGAGGTCACGGTTTGATTCCTGGTCAGAGCACATGCCCGGGCTGCAGGCTCCATCCCCAGTAGGGGGCATGCAGAAGGCAGCCCATAGATTATTCTCTCTCATCACTGATGTTTCTATCTCTCTCTCTCCCTCTCCCTTCCTCTCTCTGAAGTCAACAACAAAAAATATATATTTAAAGCACAAAGGATAGTTTCTACCATCATGAGATTTATACTATGATAAACTATTAATATTATTTATGCCCTGGCTGGTTTCTCAGTGGTTAGAGCGTCAACCCAAGCACCTAAGGGTCACGGATTCAATTCCCAGTCAAGGGCATATACCTGGGTTGGGGGTTTGCTCCCCACCTGCTATGGGGCCCATGTGGGAGGCAACCAGTCTATGTGTCTCTCTCTCACATCAATGTTTCTCTCTCCCCCCCCCCCCCATCCTTTCCACTCTCTGAAAAGCAATGAAAAAAAATACCCTCAGGTGAGGATTAACACACAAAAACAAAACAAAAACTATTATTTATAATTTACAATGTAAGGACAAGAGAGCAACTAACTAGAGTTTATGAGGCATTACAGTGACCGTATTAAAGAGCATATTCAAACCAGTTAATCACATATTTGAAATACACCTGCCTATATATAACCTAATATATCAAGAAAGCACCAGAAATGAAGAAAATGACAGAATTTATTTCTTTGGGTTTTTAAACTTATTTTTTTCCAGCTTTCTTGAGATATAATTGACATATAAAACTGTGAGAGTTTAATGTGCACAGGTGAAGGACAGAAATTTACTTACGAAATGTATATGCATATAATCAGTACCTGGGAAACCAGAGCTGGCACAACTGCTCTCTACAATCAACTGAGGGTTCTCTTTAAGTAAGAAGCCAGTCTTACTTGAAAATGACAGATCTGGGAAGAAAATCTGAGTTGCTCTTGTTAAAGGATGTAAATGTTACCTTTTAAGCATTTGAGAGTTTCTGTGCTACACACATCCACCCGCATAGTTGACAGCTGTTTCTCCTTCAATTCTATCTGATCTTCTGAGCGCTTGTACAGCAACAGCTCTTCAATGAGGGCCTGAGACTGAACACAGAGCAGAGTCAAATTTCACTCACAAGATCACTGATTTATTTATCTTTCCCCATTAAAACCTAATAAAACCCTTCACATTTCCTCATAATCAGGGATATCAATAGCAATTCTCATGTCAAAATATTCTTTTAGTCTTATACTTTAAAAGATCCTTTTCCTGCCCTGGCTGGGTGGGTGAGTTGGTTGGAGCCTTGTCCCATACACCAAAAGGTTTGTGGGTTTGATTCCCAGTCAGGGTACATACATAAGTTGCGGGTTCCATCCTGGGCCAGGACATGTACGGGAAGCAACCGATTGATGTTTCTCTCTCTTTTTCCCTTCTTCTCTCTCTAAAATCAATCTTCTCTTTCTAAAATCAATCAACTCATATCCTTAGGTAAGGATTTAAAAAAAAAAAAAGGGCCATTTTCCTTAGTTATTCAAAGCTATTTTATAGATGTAAGGTTAAGAATGAAACAAAGGTTCACTTTAAATCTTTAAATTTTAATTAGATAAACATAGCCTTATTATTCTAACTGTACACAAATTCTAATTTAGTAGAGCTTCAAAGAAAGATGAACCCCTTGTTGGGGGATTCAGTATAGAACTAAGTCTGTAACAGATTTTCTGTAAGGTTATTTTTTCCATTAGGGCAGTGGTTCTCAACCTTCCTAATGCCGCGACCCTTTAATACAGTTCCTCATGTAGTGTTGACCCCCAACCAGAAAATTATTTGGTTTTTTAGTTGCTCTCTTGTCCTTTGCTACTTCATAACTGTAATTTTGCTACTGTTATGAATCATAATGTAAATATCTGATATGCAGGATGTATTTTCATTGTTACAAATTGAACATAAAGCATAGTGATTAATCACAAAAACAATATGTAATTATATATGTGTTTTCCGATGGTCTTAGGCGACCCTGTGAAAGGGTCATTAGATCCCCAAAGGGGTCTCGACCCACAGGTTGAGAACCGCTGCATTAGGGAAACAGATAAAACTTCAAGTAATCTGATCCCAATCTGGATTCCCTTAGAACTTAAAATATAATTGATGTACAAATTGATTAAAAATAAATCTTACTGGACTACACAGGAAGCTGTAACACAAAAAGGGTAAATAATTTATGCTTTGGCCATGTTCAACATATTCTGTAACTTACTCGAAATTCAGCAACTATCTTAGATTTGAGAGCAGCTTTTGGATTCGTGGATGCTGTTGGAATGAAACAAAACATCATTAAGAATACAGACAGAAAATACCGACTAATATTCAGAAAAATTTTAGCTCTTATAGTTAAGGGTGTACTTTTTAACATATGTCAAACATGCACATTTAAATCATAGTATCTAGAATAGTGGAATATGAAATTTAAACATTCCCAAGCATGGTCAATATAAAAACATATGACTGACCGACTTACCTCCAATAGGCCCTTTAAGTCATAAAGTCCTAGAATTATTGATTTGGAGATCCTGAGATACATGAAGTACCTTTTTTCCTAGTCTGACTGAGTGTAAGAGGATCTCAATACTTCAAAATAAAGAATGTTAAGGAGCAAGACATCCAATTAATCCTGAGCACCGGCTGAAGAAAATTATTTACAAACATCAACTCTAGTCCTATGTATTTTAGCTTTGGATTTCTTTTTCTGGTGACTCAGTTCATAGTAAAAACAGGCAAAGTAAGTTCTAAGTACATTACCACTGTGGTAGAACTTTGGCTGAAATGATGACTCCTGTTGTTCCTAAGCATGCAACTTATGCCCAAAAAGAAGATAGAGGACTCCCTTAATCATGACGAATATCAAATGCTTGCTGGAGCAAAACCATCCCAAGTGTCTTGATTCACCTCCCAATTCTCACTGTCTTTTACCTTGTTCCCTCCACACCTTCAGGTCTTTCTCAATATTCCTGTTTGGCCCACAGCAGCCTATTACATGCAGTATTCCACTCCCTTGATCTCATGCTGGGTAAACATGATAAACATAGCAGGAGCTCCTGTTAGAGAATGAGCTTCTGGCCTGATCTGAGGCCCATGTCTAATCTGGTAGAGTGTATCCCCAAATCTGAAGGATTTCATGGCTCCCACAGAAATGCTTCTTAATGCCTAGTCTCCTCTTCAGCTCTGTTGTTTAATGCCAGCTGCCTCTAACTTCATATATCTTTGAACCTGAGAGTTAGCCTGGGCACTATCAAGTATTTATTTTCTTCTTTCAATCCCCCAACTACTCTTGAATCTTCACTCATTTAAACCCTCTTCCTGCATTTTCTTTGTTTAAAAGTAGTTTTTGTTTTGTTTTGTTTTTAAGAAGTAACTCCATGATGGCTTGTTTAGTGTAAGTCACTGGGAGCCTCCCAGGCCTGGAAAACACAGGTTTGCCCATAGTTTATGCGAGGTATGATGTCAAATGGTCTACATTTTCTTCTGCTCCAAAAAGAGGAGTTAATTTTATATTAGTTGAGATTTTATTCCTTACTTTGTGATTTCTTCCACTGCTTATTCGGTTGTTTGTTCAGATTTTCTTTCAGCTGCTTCTGAGTTTTGAAAGTGGTACCTGGAAAACATTTCAGTTTTTGCAATCTGGCATTATGGGAAGCTGTTCTGTCTGTCCACTTGAGTGTCAAAGTTGTAGCACGAAAAAAGGCAATCCGAGACTGTGTGTTGTTTCTTTCTTTCCTTTTCTTTCATTTTTATTTTAAAAAAAATAAATAAAACACCTACCAGATCTCTAAGAAGCTGTCAAATAAACATGATTTCTACTGTCAATGAAATGACTGATTTTCAGAACAGGACAGGAAGCTTAAAAATACCAGTTAACACATTCCAATGAAGAATTTAACAGCTTCTTAGAAGTTGCTATTTGTAAAGCAAATTTCTAGTCAATAATGGTCATGATTTAAGATATCACCAGCTTCTATTCCATGACTTAATTGCATGTATCTAATACATAGGAACTAAATAACTTTTTAAAAAATATGCATGCCACTTACTGTAAATCTAAACCAAAAGAGAGACTAAAGAATGCCAATATATGCTTAATATCAAATACCTAGTGAAAACTGAAATCCGGTCCAAAAATTCTCCAACAGTAAGAGGACAGGGCAGTAATTATTAAGCACAAAAAGTGAACTTTAGTTTAAACACTTGACGTAAAGCAAATGGAATAATTAGATGACCATCATCACTTAATATGCTTGACTTTCTTTAGTCAATAAAAACAAAATCCAACCCTCCCCAAACCAATTCTACTTAAATTTTAATTCGGATTTTTATAAGTATTTAATTTTAAACAAACAAGATCAGATCCAAAACTTTCTATTTCATTATTAAGCAACAGAACCAAATCTACAAAATATATATAATTGTAAAGTCTGAATAATGACTCAAATTTCCTTCTAGGAAAGAAAAGACACTTACTCAAAGCTTCTCTTAATGCCATAATCATTTCTTCTGGGTAAACATTTCTGTCCTCCCAGATTTTAAAGATTCGTTCTACAGATTTAGAGACAGATGGATCCCTGAGGAGAAAGAAAAAGTGAGATAGATAAAAATGTTAATATATCTCAAACTATAGATCTAAAAATAAAGTTATCAACAAATTATTTTCCAAATATCTTTTGATGTTTATTTTAAAACTTTTTTCTACATGTCTAGGACTAAAATCTGAAGCACTCTTATTCAGTTCTATGAATGACACAGATGAGGCTATGGACAACACACTGAACTTATTGAGGGATATGAAGTTGAGAGGGCCACTCAGGGAATGCCTTGACACAACTAGCCTCCCAAAAGATAGACTGACTCTAATAAGATATAATCTAATAATAAAGAATCTGGTCTAAAAAATCAATTGTATGAGTACAGAATAAGACAAGGCTTAGCAATACTTTAAAAAACTCAGAAATTAGGCCTGGCCAGTGTGTATTGTGGTTAGAGCTTGGCCCGTGGAACAGAGAGGGTTGCAGGTTCAATCCCCAGGCAAGGGCACGTATCTGGGTTGCAGGTTCATCCTCGGCCATGGTTGAGACTCTTGCCAAACAATCAATGTGTCTCTTCCATGTCAATCTATCTTTCTCTCACCACCCTACCCACTCTCTCTAAAAATCAATGGGAAAAATATCAAGTGAAGCTTAAAAAATAATAATTAAAAATTCAGAAATTAGAGTGGAGATAAATTTTATCTCTAAAAACTTGCTACTCCGTATCTCCTAAAATAATGACCATTTTATAACTTAATTTTTTTATTTGTTTATAACAAATATCTTCCCTAGTGTGTCACTTGTCTTTAATTTTATGGCTTATTCTATAACACAGAAGTTTAATTTTGATGTAAATAAATTCATAAATACATTTATTTATTGTTCTTTGTGTTTTAAGAGCTTTTTAACTCCCTTTGTCATAAAATTTTTCATATTTTCTTCTAACATTTTAAAGTTTTAATACCCCAAGGTTTAAGTTTGAAGTATATAATATCTGGGTTGTTTTCCAAATTTTATTTAATACCCCAAGATTTAAATAAGTTTGCAATATATATCTGGGCTGTTTCCAAATTTTCATTACCACAAATACTGTTGCTATAAAAATTCTCTTCCATCAATTTGCTGTACATATACAAAAGTTTCTCAGGGCTTTTAAAAGACTAGGGGTGGAATCCCAAGATCACAGGGTGTACATAACAAACTTTTTATTTTTTTATCTTTATTTTTTTAAAAGGTATGGGCATTTTAAATATACATATATATATTTTTAATATATTTTATTGATTTTTTTACAGAGAGAAAGGGAGAGGAATAGAGAGTTTGAAACATCGATGAGAGAGAAACATCATTCAGCTGCTTCCTGCACACCCCCCACTGGGGATGTGCCCGCAACCAAGGTACATGCCCTTGACCAGAATCAAACCTGGGACCCTTCAGTCCACAGGCTGATGCTCTATCCACTGAGCCAAACCGGTTAGGGCTTAAAAAATATTTTTTATTGATTTCAGAGAGGAAGGGAGGGAGAGAGAGACAGAAACATCAATGAGAGAGAATCACTGATCGGCTGCCTCCTGCATGCCCCACACTGGGGATCGAGCCCGCAACCTGGGCATGTGCCCTTGACCAGAATTGAACCTGGGACCCTTCAGTCCGCAGGCCAATGCTCTATTCACTGAGCCAAAGCGGCCAGGGCTATAACAAACTTTTCAAAAGGAGGTTGTTTTATACCCACCAACCCTCAAACCAACAGTATATGAGAGTTCCCATTGTGCCACAATCTTGCTAATTTTGGTATTGGTGAACTTTAAAATGTATATGTACCAGATATTAATTTATTGCCTCTCTGCTCTAAGCCACCCTTCTTGGTGCTACTGCAGCCAGAATGAACCCTTGGCTCTTTGTTAGACTCTGCCAATAGAGGGCCCTAGAGTGACACTGAGAGGTTGGAATTGGCTGTAGGGATTCTTTTGGTGCTCTATTCTGCTTCTTAAATGGATCAGCAAGCATACAGGCATTTTGGTGGGGGGTTGCTCTTGCAGTTCAGTGATGAGTGCTCTCCACCTGTTTCTTAGCCAGTACAGTGGCAAGTAGCATGTGCAGGTAGCAATTCCCTCTCCTCAGGTTTGAGTCTCAGCTGGGAGAAGAGGGGGCTCCTCATTTACTTTTCCCTCAGGTTCAGAAGTAGTCCCGCCGTACCTTAGAGCTCTTTTAGTCTTTTCTAGTAGTTAGTAGCTACCTTTTACCTACTTAACAATTCTTTTTTAATCCTCACCCGAGGATGTTTTTATTGTTTTTCTTTAAAAAAATTTATCTTTATTGTTAAAAGTATTATAGATGTCCCCTTTTTCCCGGGTTGTGGGCTCAATCCCCAGAAGGGGGCATGCAGGAGGCAGCCAATCAATGATTCTCTCTCATCATTGATGTTTCAATTTCTCTCTCCCGCTCCCTTCTTCTCTGAGATCAATAAAAAATATATACATTTTATTATTTTATATATTTTTTTTTTAATTGATTTTTTACAGTGAGAAAGGGAGAGGGATGGAGAATTAGAAACATCGATGAAAGAGAAACATCAATCAGCTGCCTCCTGCACACTCCCTATTGGGTATGTGCCCGCAACCCAGGTACATGCCCTTGACCGCAATCGAACCCGGTACCCTTGAGTCCGCAGGCTGACGCTCTATCCGTTGAGCCAAACCGATTAGGGCAAAAAATATATACATTTTAAAGTAATTAATAGGTATTTAAACAATTTCTGTTTTAATTTCTAGTATAATAAGTGCCAGGTAAACTCTTTAATTTTTTTTTTTGGCCTTTTTCTTCCTATTTTGGAATTCTTTATGATCCCATTGTTGATTGCACTGCAATATTTTCTCCCACTCTGTGGCTTGTTTTTCACTCCCTGACCTCCAAGGCAAGCTTTTAAATCCATTTTTCTTTTCTTTTTTCTTCTTCACATACAGAACTTCTCCACACACCACATTTATTTTTTCAGCTATCAAGTCACTGCATGTCGATCAGGTACCATTTTATCCCTAAAACTTTGCTGGCATAAAAATATGACAGTTAACCCATGTTCAATCTATAAAATGTTTATAGAGCATAGCACATTAAGCTTATGTGGTAATTAAACCACATAAAAATAGGACAAGACCTCCATTCTACATGTTCAGAATCAGGTGTTCACAGGCCCTATTCGGTGGCTGTACAACAGCTCCAAAAGGCAGCAGAGGCAACAGTCAGTTACTTCAGAGGACACTGAACACTATGATCAGGAAGCACATCATGATGTTATCCCAGTGTGTGTACCACCCCACCCTTTCTCTAAGGTGGTCTCATGATCCTAGCATGCCAGTTCCGGCTAATACAAAATGAAGACAATACAACATTTACTCTGTGGCGATAGTCTAACTCCTACTCTGTATATATTGTGATTTTGAATACAACTTGTCCTAAAAACCTGTCACAATCATCACAGTTTTTCAGGTTAGGTGTCCAATAATCTTGCATTTGACTATTCTTTTGGCGTACAACTAGCACCAAAGCCAAGCTGGACAAGCAATAACATGGAAAAATACTTTGCCTATAATAAAATTGGGAGGATAAGCTGATAAGAGTTGTCACTCTTAGGAATACTGAAGCATTCTATCCTTAGTTCTCCTTGAGGTGTCCTCTGGAGAGTCAGACAGGATCATCCATACCACTGCATGCCTAAAGTACGATAACGGGAAACTGACATGCAACATAAACTGGACCTTCAAAAAGTACTCCATCAGGACAGACTGTGAAATTCTTCTGTTCTTCTAAATCTCTAGAAACTTCATCAAGTTTTCTTTTTTATTTAATTTTTTAATCCTCACCAAGGGTATTTTTTCCATTGATTTTTTTTTTTAGAGAGAGTGGGAGAGGGTAAGACAAAAAGAAATATCAATGTGAGAGAAGCACATCGATTGGTTGCCTCCTGCACAAGCCCTGACCAGGGCCCAGACAGAAGAGGAGCCTGCAACTAAGGTATGTGCCCTTGACCAGAATCAAACCCGGGACCCTTTGGTCCACAGGCCGACGCTCTGTCCACTAAGCCAAACCGGCTAGGGCCATAATGTTTTCAATGTACCTTTCATAGGACTCTGGATCAAACATACTGAATGAATATTCCAGCATAGACACTAGTTTTGGAAAAACCCTAAGTCCTGGACTAGAAGTCTGGTCGCACTATTTTGGAACCTCATCGCTCTGAGTCTGAAGCACTGTGAATGTGAAAAGTGCAGCCAGGAACCCATAAAAGACTCAGTAGAAGAAGAGCAAGATCAAACCCCAGCTCTTGGTAGTGCGCCCCAGCAACACTCTATTGGTCAGGTTATCAATGAAGAGCTTCTACTCAGCCGGACTCATCATCATAGCAGCAACTAACATTTATTAAGTGTTTATTATATGCCAGTCACTGTTCTAAGCTCTTTATATGTACTATTAACTCAGTTCCCTCTTTCTGTGGGGTAGGTACTATTTATTACTGACTCCATTATACAGATAAGAAAACTGAGGCTAATTTAAATTGCCTAAAGTTATAGAGCTGGAAGGTGGCAAAACCAGGATTCAAACCCATGTACCTTGGTTCCAGAGCCTATGGCCTTAAACCATTATGTCTGGACATCAATGTGTATGTAGCCTAAAGTGAATGAAAAGTATATCAGAAACTGAGAAACTAGTTAGAAGGATGATATAATAATACAATATATTAAATAGAGATAATGGGAAATTAAAAGGCAGAGAGAAGAGGAGGAAGAAACAACAGAAGAATCAGTCCCTAGTAAGTGACTAAGAAATAAAGAGATAAGAATCTAAAATTACTAAGGGTCCATTATAAGATTAAAAAAAAAACCCACACCTATAAATTAAGTTTAGAAAGACTATGTACTAGAGTAAAAATAATAGAGGACTAAGAGTCAGAAAAATCTCAGTTTCAGTCTCGGCTCTTTCACTAAATTGTCATTTTACTTTGGGCAATTTCTTAACTGTTCTGAGTTTCAGTGTTCTCATTTTGTAAAAAGGAAAAACAAAATCTAATCTGCTTACCTGCAAAGTTGGTTACTGTGAGTTTCAAATAACATTGTATAACAATTTCAATATATAATATACTTTCACAACAAATTATAGGAGTAGGGCTTTATACAAATATAAGGTATATTATTGTTTTAGACATTTTGAGCTGAATATCATCAGGTAGCAATGAAGCAGTAATTCCCAGAAAGTAATCAAATACATAGTAAAAAATCTAGGGATACAGATATAGTAGTTATTAGTACATGAGTAACAGTTAAATCCATGAGTAGATAAGTCTCCGAGAGAAAGTGTGTAAATACAGCAGAAAGGCAAGTCTGACAGTTTAGCAAGAAGGTGAGAAAACTGCCAAAATTCAAACTCCAAAAGGTTTCAAGACTTTCTTCACTAACTAACAACTAGCCATGAGGTCATCAGAATCTCTTAAGTTGGGTTTATTTCAGAGTACCAACCTCATCATTTCCCAAAAATCTGTCATGGTATATTTTCCCAATAAAGGTCATATATCCATCTTTATACCATCAAAGTAAAAACAAACAAACAAACAAAACACATTACGCTCTGATGATAATAATCAGCATAAATGCACTTTTCAGTTCAATTGAAGAGAATTTAAAAGCAAAAATGACTGCCTTTTCTGAAAACCTTGGATAGAAACAGGCATTAGGAAAGTTCTGATATAATACAAACAGACCTTCAGTTATAGGGATTCTTCTACAACCTATATAACATGTGTATAAAACTTATTGGTAAAAAAATAAAATAAAAAACTTATTGAAGTGGAAGAATAATCCCTAGTTTTCCAAGTGGTAACTCAACTCTGACATTCATAAAGACACTTTCCCTGTGCTTCAAATTGATATTTCAACTATTCTGTTCTCACAATGATGTATACATGCAGATGAATTGGCATTTTTGCCCCTTAGCTAGGATCTCTAGGATAGAAATAGCAAATAAATATCATCAGGTTACCTTCATTTATGCCTCCCCCCCACACACACACACACATTTTTAGAAAGAGAGGGAGGGAGAGGAGAGAAACATCAACTGGTTGCCTCCTATAGTACCGCTAACCTGGGATCAAACCTGCACCTGGGTATGTGCCCAACTGGAATTGAACCCGCAACCTTTCAGTGTATGGGACAACACTCCAACCAACTGAGTCACACCAGCTAGGGCTCACATAAATATTTTCATTACAATAATAACTAGCACATTCAGGTTCTCAACCTATGAAATTTCAAACCAGTGAGGGAAGGATAAACTGAACTATAATAAAAAGGAACTGGAATAATTAGATTATTATTTGGAAAGAAAAAGTCCCCTAACCCATCCAAAAGAACTAATTTTCCCTCTGGCCATCTTCCTTAACATACGACAGTGAGTTCACCCCATAACTTTTAATCAAGTGAAATCAAGTAACCCCTTAAAGGTTCTAAAAGAATAAAATAATGCCTACTACAGAGGTCTCTAATAGGTTGCCTACGGCTCAAATTTAGTCATCAGATGTGTTTTATTTGGCAAACAATATTTTTTTAACGTGATTTAGTTTTACACATTTAAAAAATGGAAGACTTCATATAAAAATCCACATTTTGACTTAGTTTAAAGAGTAAAAAAAAGTCTTTGCAAGGTCTGGCAGTGTTTTTAACACTGGGCTCGTATTTCTTTATTGCCATGGGCTAAGGCCGAATAGCTGCTGTCCCTTTTTGATGGATATTCCTCACATTCAACTCACTTCACTCATCTATGTTACCTGCCTGGAACTTAAATTTTTTTAATTGGTTACTGCTAACATATACAGTATAGGAAAGGTACTGCTTTTCTATGTTGAACTTGAATCTGGCTATTTAACTGAACTCTCTTACTAGTTGATTCTATGTAGGCCACAGGTTGGTAAACTACCAAACTTGAGCCAAATCTGGCCTGCTGCCTATTTCTGTAAATAAAGTTTTATTGGAACAAAGCCATCCCATGTATGTATTGTCTATGGCTGCTTTCATGCAAGAATGGCAAAGTTGACTACTTGGGACAGAGATCCTATGGCCTGCAAATCCTAAAAGGCTTACTACCTGACCCTTTACAGAAAAAGGTTGCCTACCCCTGATGTGTGTAATCATATGATATGCAAATAAAGACAATTCTGTCTCTTCTAAATGCATTCTTCTTATTTATTTAGAAATGAATGGGATATCCAATAAAATAGGGAATAGCATAATAGAAGGCACTCATCTTGGAATGCTTTTATTATTTTATCATTAAGTCTGATATTTACTAGACATTTCTAAAGATACCCTTCATTGAGTTAAGAACATTTTCAGAGCTTAAAATTTTAATTTAAAGGACTGTACTGTATTTTGAGATTATGTCCTTCCCATCTTTTACTGTGAAATAGTAATAGAAATACAAAGTAGTTGTTTTAAAAAAATATCTTCACATTGTCAAATAAAAGCTGACAACCATGAATTAGGTCATGAAATCTTAAGTCTAGGGAAGACTAGGTTAAATTTTAAAAAGACTACAGTGACATTTACAGCAGAAACTCTAAGTGGGGATCACCTGGCACACTGCTTTTCTTACTTAAAATTACTGGGTTTATATATGTAAAGAGGCAGCACATACTAGTGGGTAAGTGGCAAAGAACATGGGCTTTGGAGTCTAGACAGGCTTGGGTGGGAATTCTACAGGACACCACCCCTCCACCCAGGGAGCTGTGAGAACTTAGGCCAGTTATTTAATCTCTCTAAGCCAGTTTCCTCCTCCTTAAAATGGAATAGTAGTAGTAGCTACTTTATAAAGTTGTCCTCAGGATTAAATGACTTAAAGCACACATAGCACTTTGTAAAATATCTGGTCAATTTCAAGTGTTCAATAAATGTTAGGTGCAATTGTTATTTTATGTATTCCTGACATGTGTATAAATCTTTATCACTTAGTACAGTGGTTGGCAAACTGCGGCTCGCAAGCCACATGCGGCTCTTTGGCCCCTTGAGTGTGGCTCTCCCACAAAATACCAAGTGCGGGCGCACACGTACAGTGCGATTGAAATTTCGTGGCCCATGCGCAGAAGTCGGTATTTTGTGGAAGAGCCACGCTCAAAGGGCCAAAGAGCCGCATGTGGCTTGCGAGCCACAGTTTGCCGACCACTGACTTAGTACATTCAGGCAGGGCCATATTTTGACCTTTTGTAATACCAAAGTAGGTATCTCAAGTTAATAATCCAAAGGAAGGAACAAGGATCATTTAGCTATGATGGGGTTAATACTAACAAATGGATCAGTAGTATATTATATTAACATATTTATACAAATATATTAAGCTAATAAATATCTAATTTGAGGAAATATTTAGCTATTTTGATTATTCCATATGATTATTTTCCTTCCAATTGTGTGTGTGTGTGTGTGTGTGTGTGTGTCTCTTGTACCAAACAACTTACAAATATGGATAAAACACAAGAAAAACAATTAGTACAGGGCAAAAATAAGATCAGATATGTGTTCCAGCATTTTCCAAAATATAATTTTGCTAAGAATGAAATAAATCAATATGGAGTTGGGAATAAATATCTCCATTCCCCTTTAATTACACAGATTTCGTGAAGGGAACAAAATTTCAGAAAAACTCTAAAAAAAAGTAGGCAAATGTGCAAAACCCCCCATAAAAACAGAAGAAGCGGTTGGAAAGAAGTAGCCAGAGAGTATGAGCAGGAGATACATATGGCAAGGTAGACCAGAAGAGGCAGACTGTAAATTACAAACTTTCAAAAAGGGAACAAAGAGTTTTTGAAAGAAAAAAATGCGACATTAGCAGGAAAGTTACAATGAATAACTTGGACAAAATATTCTTGGATCCTTAAGCATGTACAACAATTACAGTTCTTAGTAATGGGTAAAAATGGAATCTAAAATTCTACATTTTCTAAGCTTAGATCCCAAAGACCAGTAAGAATTTACTTACTTCACTAGAGCAGCTGCTTCAGGAAGTACATCAGCAAATGATTCACGGAATATGATTGCGTTTTTCCTTTTACAATTCTGGATGACATCATTGGCAAGGTAAAAGAGATTCAAACGGTGGGGATAGGCAGCTAGAGATGATAAAAGATATAAATAAAACAAAATCAGTCAATTTATACTTAGTTCAATTTATTCCAAATACAGTGTTCTCAAACTGCTATTGGATGGATGGATGAACAGACAAATGAACTAATATGATCAACTTACTGAACCTACGCTCTAAAAACCTTGACTGCTTCAGGTTAAGTTTTTGTTTAAGGTACTCCTTGAATAGATTTCTACTTCACTTTATAGATGCTTGCCACTAAAAAACTCATTAACTCCGGAGAAACTAAAATTAAAAAACAAAAACAAAAAAACTGCTCTCCCAAACATTTGAAAAGATAAAAAAAATTGAGTAGAAACGGCTCAACTTGTTGCAAAAACACCAGGTTTACTGGAAAGAGTGTGGGCTTTTCTAGAATCCAATCAGAATGTGACCTCAGGCAAATTCCTTATAATTGTAGATAGACTCCTTTCATCAACCAGTCCAGATCCACTCAGATACATGTAAGTCCTTCCATCTACTGGAAAAGAGGTTCTGCTGCTACTTGCATCACCAAGCAAAGGTCCTGGGAAATGAATAATTTGATCCCATAAAACACACCTGAGTCAACCTTTTTCAAAGGCCCATGATTAGGCCCAATCAACTTACTATCTGGAACCTTGAGCAATGTCACCCCAAATTTCATTGTTATCCTGGACAATTTTAATATCCACATGGATGATCCATTGTATTTTCTAGTCCCCCAATTTCTTGATCTCAAATTCAGTATCCTCCTGGAACCACTCTTTTGTTCTTCACTTTCATCAGAATCTCAGTTCTTTATTTTCTCTACAGCCTCTTCCAGTATTCAAATTCTTTCTCCATCAATTCCAGAGTTTCTGATCCATTATTAAAATAACTCTTTTATCAAAACCTTCATCATCGTTCCCCCACCTGCCTCAAATTTAGCCTTTCTAGCATATGCACTCAACAAAATCTTAAATCTGGATCAATCTAATTGAATGCCTTCACTACAACTTTATTTCCGCTCTGTGTTCTGTTGAAGAAAAATCCTATCACCAGGAAGATTGAAACCATATAAATTCAATCTCCTTCAGCTGGGCCCTCAATGCTACTGTCCTTCCACATGTCTTTAATCAGCATTTTCTCTCATTTACTGTAAAAGCTATTTCAAATTTCTACTACTCTTGTCAAGCCCTCTATGTTACCACATTCCTTTCTCACTCTCAGGAGATAAGCTTACATGCTATTTCACAGAGAGAGCATAAATCATTAGATGGAAATTATGTTCTCTCGAAAAAATGTATCCACATTTAAACCCATCCAGATCAACTTATCTGAGTCAGGTAAGGTCTTTCAGAATCAGGAATCTGAAAGAGCTTTATGTACTCGCTGTCTTCACTTTAACTTCTATTAACTCCATAATTACAGAATGACAACTTCACAGGTTGTTATAAGAATTAAATAAATCAATGTATATGGACAGGTGGCTTGGTTGGTTGGAGCTTCGTTCCATACACCAAAAGGCTGAGGATTTGATCCCCAGTCAGGTACATTCGGGAGGCAACCAATCGATATTTCTCTCTCAAATTGATGTTTCTCTCTCTCTCCCCTTCCTCGTTCTCTAAAATCAACAAAAATGTTTTAAAACAAATAAAACAATGTATATAAAGCATTAAGGAGAGTGCTTAGCACACAGAAAATGGCTACCAGCATAATCATTCACTTCCATGCCTTTAACTACTACCACCTATGTATCCATGACTCCCATATCCATACTTTTCAAGCCTGGATTTCCCTTTATCAATCAATGCTAAGTCTCAGAGGCACCCTGAACTTGATTTTTCAATATTTTACTAATATTAATCTTCCTCCTCTTCCATCTGTTACTGCTCCTGTATTTAGCCAGAATTTTAGCAATTTTTTTGACTCCTCCTACTCCCTACCCTTCAGCCCCCATTTGTTAAATCTCCAAGTCTAGTCAATTTTGTCTCCTATAATATCAAATTTATCCCTCTTCTCCTTCTCTATCTACTTTAGCTCTTTGCTGGGTTCATCACCTTTGACCTGGACTACTACTTCAATAGCCTCCCAACTGGTGATCTTGCTTCTAGATTTGGGCACCCCAAATTTATTCTCTACATTGTTGCTAAATTCATCTTCTAATATGCAAAACTGTCCAGTTATTTCTGATATCAAATCTGCCAATGATTTCCAATTGCTTACTGGAAAATGTCCAAATACCTTAGACTCCATTTATGATCTGGATCTTACATTCTGTTCTAGTCTCATCTCTTCCCCTTCAAAATCAAATTTTATCTTTAATGAATTACAATTCCCAGAAATCTCTCTCTCTCTGTCTCTCAGAACTTTCCTTTTCTATGATAATCCACTCTGAATAATCTTTAGTGTTTCCACTCATCCACCGGAAAACATCCAAAATTTTAAATTTAATCCATGTCAGATTCTGACCCTCCATCTCATTTCTACTTCTGCCCAAAACAAATCATCCCCAACAACATTACTGCCACTTTCCCCCAATGTAAACCCTCCACTTTAGTCAGAGCACTAAGAAATTCAGAAGGAATGAGAAAAGTTGGTTGAGGTAATCTGGGAAGATGCCTATGGATTTTCGAGATGGCCCATCCTGAATGTTTTTCAAACCCTCTTATACCATAGTTCTTGCTTACCTGTTTAGCCTCAACTTTAGCCTCTCTCTCCCTTAAAGCTCCAGTTTGGTGAACAAAACTTTGTTCTCATCTCCAAGCCTCACCCCTTCCCTCGTCTTGACACCCATTTCAATAGGCTAATTCCTTCACTTTCTTCAAGTCTTAGCTGACATCTCACATCTTTGATGAAGCTTCCCCTAACTCCACAAGATGATGCCTTTAGCGAACTCTGAACTTACCCAGTCAACACTTACCACACTATGCAGAGGTCCTCAAACTTTTTAAACAGGGGGCCAGTTCATTGTCCCTCAGACATTCCACACATGCGCACTGCGGGCCCGGGACAAGTCGGCTGCTAAGCAGGACAGGCAGCGGCGGCAAAAACACCCGGCGGGCCTGCGGCCGTAGTTTGAGGACCCCTGCTAGTGTATTGGTTTGCACTCTCCATTAGAGTATAAACTCCCTGAAGGCTAGGATTCTGTCTTGTTTACTGCCATGTCCTCAATGACTAATTCAGTGTCTGATAGGTGCTCAATTAATATTAAATGTTTAATGAAGAAGTTAAATTTTCATAGGAAAGAAGGGAAGAGCACTCCAGTGAGAACAAGTCTTGAGCAAAGGTGCTGAATAGGCCTGTGCAATGATCGTCTTTTGTTTTGGAGGAGGGAGAAATTTAGGGTAGAATTTTAAATTTATTTAACAAAAACTTATGTATCCCTTTCTGTGTGCTAGGCACTATTCTAAAGATGATACAAATTTTAGCTGATGTCCCTACAACAACCCTAGTACTATTATTAGCTCCATTTAAGAGATAGAATTAAATGAATTGTCCCTATTCACAGCTAGTAAGTGGTAAAGCTGGGATTTAAATACAGACAGTTTGGCTCCAGAATCTATATTCTTAACCATTACCTATTTCTATATTTGTCTGACCAGGAAGGTTTGGGGGGAAGAACAGTGGGAGAATCTTTGCCAGATGACAAATTCTGGTGGGACTTAAATAATGAGCTAAAAAGTTTCAGCCTTTATTCTGTGGCTAACAAGAAGCCATAAAAAGCTTTTATACAAAATTTTAAAAATACAGACTCCAACTACTACTTACCATTGCCTCCTGGTCTGAGTCATAATCATCTTTTGCTTGAATTACTGTAGTAGCCTTCTAACTGGTTTCCCTGTTTCTACCTTTGTTTGCCTCACTTCAGTCTAATCTCAACTCAGAAGAGTGATCTTGATCCTTTTAAAATAGAAATATGATCATATTACTCCACTGCTTAAATCCCTCCAATAATGGCTCCCCTCCTTACTCAGAGCAAAGATCAAAGTCCTTACAATGGCCTGTAAGTCCTAAATAATCTGACCCCACATTATGTCTCCAATCCCCTGTCCTGGTCACCATTCCAGCCATTTTGGCCACCTTGCTGCTACAAGACCTACATACACCTGGCCTACTCCCTGCCTCCAGGTCCTTTAAGCTCCCTGCTCTCTCTGCTTGAAACATTCCTTTCCCATATAGTCTTATAGTTTACCTCTCTCATCACCTTTAAATATTTGCCCACATGTCATTTTCTCAGTGACTTCCTGTACTCCCTAACCAGGAAAACTACAACATCAAGCCAACAACACTGCTATCATCCTTCCTTGTTTTATTTTCCCACATAATACATAATTTCCCAATATACTGTAGAATTTATTTTTTTCCCTATCTCCTCCCATCCTATATAATAAAAGAGAAACATTAAATTTACCATCCCTCCACACTGCCCACCAGCCAATCAGCTGTGAGTATGCAAATTAACCCAACAAAGATGGTGGGTTAATTTGCATACATGGGTGCCAGGCAGAGAGCAGAACAGGAGAGCCAGCGGCTTGGGGAGACCTGGCTCCCGCAGTCGCTCCCCCAAGCTGCCAGGCAGAGAGCAGAGCAGGAGAGCCAAAGGCTTGGGGGGACGTGGCTCCCTCAGTCACTCCCAGCAACCGAGGGAGCCATGCCCCCCAAGCCACCGGGCAGAGAGCAGAGCGGGAGAGCCAGCAGAGAGTGGAGTGGCTTGGGGAACTTGGCTCCCCAAGCCACCAGACGGAGAGCAGAGAGGGAGAGCTGGCGGCTTGGAGGACTTGGCAGAGTGGGAGGCCATGGGACGGAGACAGAGCAGGAAGGGAAAACCAAGAGTGCGGGGAGCACCAGGAATGCTGGGAATCGTAGTTCTGGTGGCAGATAGATCTCCTAGACCAGTGGTCGGCAAACTCATTAGTCAACAGAGCCAAATATCAACAGTACAACAACTGAAATTTCTTTTGAGAGCCAAATTTTTTAAACTTAAACTATATAGGTAGGTACACTGTTATTAACTTAATTAGG